CCTTCCCCCGGGGCCCGGGGGGGGGGGGGGGGGGGGAGGAATCCTCCAGTCCCCCAGCCTCTACCCCCAGGAGGGGCGGCAGGGTCCCGGTTCACCCATCTCAGTCCACCCGTCGCCCACATGAGCCCCGCGGCGTGGACCCCGGGGAGGGCTTGCGGCTCGCAGCCGTGTGTGGGGCGGTGCCTGCGGGCTGGCGGCTGAGTCCTGCCGCGTCTCTGACCCAGACTCGGAGCCGAGGGTCCCGACTGAACATCATCATCATTGCCGAGGGCGCCATCGACCGCAACGGGAAGCCCATCTCATCCCGCTACGTGAAGGACGTGAGTGTGGGGGGCCCTGGGTCACGTGGGGTGGGCGGGGCCTTGGGGAGGGGGCTCCCTTTTATCTCCAGTCCCCAAGTGCTCTTGCTGGGGCCCCACCCCCAGCTCCTGGAAGGAGCTTTCTTGTCCCTAACGATTGCCAGATGTGGGGTGGGTACGGCCGGGACCCCTGAGAAGCCCTGGCCCCTCTGAGGCTGAGGTGTGGCTCCCGCCTGCTGGGAACCCCCAACCCTCTGGTTTCCAGTCTTCATTCAGATCGTCCCCCATCCTAGGGGCCCGTCCAGCCCCTCAACAGTGTCCCAGTGACAGGGTCCAGCCCCTGCCAGCCCCCCATTGACAGGGGAGCCCACTGCCTATCCAGTGCCAGATTCATAACAGAACAACTTTGGGGGGAATCCTTCGTCCCTGTGAGCGGCACCCACCTGCCGGGTTCTGCCCAGGGCCCTGGGCCCCAGTCCCCCAGTGGGGCACAGCCCCTGGGAGCCTCCATGCCCCTCACTTTGGCCGCCCACCCTGTCCTTGAGTTCCCAACCAGGTGTTGCCAGGAGCCCGCCCCTCCGCCCACCCTGTGCGCTGTGCTTCCTGCCACAGTTTCTGGCAAGGCCTGACCCACAGGGGCTGGAGACCATGATGAGCTCCTGCAGCTGGCACGTGTGGGAGCACGCGCCCACACACTCACATGGAAACACACACCCACACACACGTGCACATGCTCAGGCTGTAGGCGTGAACCCTGGGCTGGCTCTGTGGGGCCCCTGGGGAGCTGACACCCTGAAATCCCTGAGGCAGGGTGGGAGGGGGAGGGGAGAGGGCTGGGGGCCACGGGGTGATGGGACAGTGGGGTAGAGCAACAAACTCAGGGATCCCCTCTCTGTCCCCACGAGCAGCTAGTGGTCCAGAGGCTGGGCTTTGACACACGTGTGACCGTGCTGGGCCACGTGCAGAGGGGAGGGACCCCCTCAGCGTTCGACCGCATCCTGGTAGGTGGGGCGTCACCCTGGTGCTGGGTGTGCTGCACGGGTGGCGTGGTGGGTGTGCATGCGTGGGTGTGCGTGAGCACTTTTTCACTGCTGCTGGTGCTTGCAGGTGAGACCACGGCCTGGCAGCCTAGGCCGCACCCTCCTGGCGATGGCTTTGGCAGGACCTTGGGAAAGGAGGGTGGGGTGAGCAGCAGGTCGACGTCTGGTTGTTCTGAGTCTGGCCCAGGGCCTGGGTGCCCAGCTCCAGGGCCTGGGTGCCGAATCCTGATTACTGCTGGTCCCACCCAACCCTCTGCAGGGTGGGAGTCATGCTGCAGCCCCCCAGGGCCAGGGCCCAGGGCCAGGGAGGCCCCGAGGTGGTGAAGCGCCCGCCTGTGAGGCGCTGGTCACTGGGGCTGGGGGCTGGAGACTGCAGGGCTGGCCGGAGCTGTGCCTGGGCCACTGTGCTGGGTGAGGCCGGGTGACCAGCTTGGGCCTGGGGCAGCCGCTGGACTGAACCTCTCCCAGGAGGCCTCAGTGCGTCCCCATCCCACACAGAGCAGTAGGGACACTGGCCTCAGAGCGGGTCTGGCCCCAGGGGTGCACTCGGGACAGGGGGTCAAGCACTGGCCCTCCACCAGGCCTGGCGCACAGAAGGGGCTGTCGAGTGCCAGCATGGGCCCGGGGTCTCACCTGGTGGCAGGAGAATGGGCTCACCTGCTGGTTTTGCAGATGGTGGAGACACCGGAGGCCTGGGTCGGCGGCAAAGGGGCGCCAGAGGCACAGCTTACTGCTGGTCCCCGAGCCCAGGTCCTGAAGGGCGACACCTGCACACAGTGGGTTACAGGACAGCAGCCATCACACGGTTCCTGAGGGACACAGGAGCTTTCTCCTGGGTGCGGTCTGGGGGCGCGGCAGAGGCGGGGGACGCCAATGTCTCACCGAGCTGAGCCGCGGGCCTTGGTCTCTGGCGCGCCTGTCTGTTACCGTTGGCCATGGCAGGACCCCTGTTTGTGATTTGTCTCCATGGCGGGCGGTCCTTACCTGACCAGTTTTAGCTGGTCCGGCCCGCCAGGCCATGCCCAAGTTTGCACACACACCAGGACAGCTGTGACAAAGGAGCCCCAAGCGAGAAACCTCGTCATAGTGGAGAGAACTCCAGAAACCCCGGTCCAGCCCTGGCCCTGCCACTGCAACTCCAGGGTGCAGGGACCACGCCCTCCTAGCAGGGGCCACGCCCTCCTAGCAGGGCCGGCTGAGACCTGGTGAAATGGTGCCGGGGTGGGGGGG